GACAAAGCTTTCCATATCCGTGGCTGTGCATCATGGATCAGATTGAACCTAGCTAATTACAGCCAATTAGAGAACACCAGGATGCCAGGTCCCATTTCTGGCCCTCTTCTCTCCACGAAGACTTGTTCTCCACGGAGCGATTTTCTCCACAGCGCTCCTCTCTCTTCGGAGAGACTCTGTACGGCGCGCTTCTCTCTCCGGAGAGGAGGGAGAGGCTCTCCGTGGAGACCTCCTCTCCATAAAGCGGTGCTCTCCTCAGCGAGCTTTACCTAGAGACCTTCTCTCCACGGAGCTTGCATTATCAGCGCTCTCTCTTCAGTTTCTCCCACTCATTTAACTTTATGTACAGGCTTCTCTTTTATAGCCTCAGATGCATGAATTCCGCATCTTAAAAACAACTAAAGAAAATTGACACCTAAGTTACCAGTTCTGACATGCATCAATGAAAGCAGCGCAGGGGTCAGATGCAGCTTTGTATGCACATTTAGATATGCATATCGACTTGCCAATCCTTTGGCGCATCATAGATCTTTTCCGTTTCGCGCTTCCATCACAATTCAATTCCCATTTGGCCGTTCATTTCATTTGAATTCTATCAATGGAAAACGTACAAGATGGCAATTGCCGCGGGGGTGCAGGAAGTAGCTTGATGACCTTAACTTGGACTGTAAGATCTTTCGTCCAGTTGCGTCCGCGATCCGTCAGCATTGCATGTAGCTCGTCTACATCATCATCGTTCACAATTGCCTTCAGAATATGCACCGCTCCAAGATACTGACAAATATGTTGATCTGTGGCCTTCCAATGTGTTTCACCAATTCTATAATAATAATTTCCGACAACGCATACGTACTGGTCCAAGGAAGCCCCTCCCCGGATAAGAGCTTTAGCAATAATTCAAGCGTAACGCCGGTCTTCAACTGAGAACTAGGATAGTCCGCGGAAATGTTTCAAGTCTCGAAATTCCTTATCTTCGCTAAAATCTGTGCTAAGCTATAGAGCTAAGTACTGGTAAAAATAGCTAGTATTATTGAAAGAAGCGATCAGAAGATTATATACAATCTCCAACAACTCTCTTCATTAATAGTTTTAGTATAGTAGAGTTTACAATTCCTGGGTACGGAGTAGTAGTAATGAAAAGGTTTAGTCTTAGAAAGATTGCTTATAATTTAGCTTATATCGCAATCCAACTGACCTCCCTTGATTTCAACTTTTGATTAGCGCCGTATCCCTGATTTGTAACCAAAATAGCGCCCGGCTCAACCTCGGCTCACTCTCTGCTTCGGTTGCACCGCCACTGCTCAACGAGTGTGTACATCCCAGATTTAGACCAAGACCAGCCGCTTACAGAGGACAGCCGAATCCTGAGCGACCGTCCCGATATTAGAAGGCTATCCTCTCTGCAGGCTGCTGTCCTCTCTGAAGTCGACCGGCCGAAGTACTAGCGGTAGGTATAATTAGCTAATCCTCTTGAAGAGTAAGTGTTAGCAGCCCTGATCTTTCTTCCATCTGCCAACGTTGGAGGAGAACTTGCAATCAACAGAGGGCGTTGACCAGATTAGGGTGGTTGATGGGTATAGCCCCCACCGGCACGGGTTAGGGTTCGGGTCGCACGGACTTGGGTAGGGTTTGGGTTGGGGTCATCAATGCGTTGGGTATACCTGTGGTTGGGGTCAGTAATAGGTTGGGTCGCACAGACTTGGGTTAGGGTTAGGTTATTGGGTTACCTAGACCAGATTCATCCAGTCTGCACGAATCAAATATAATAATCTCTTCTGTGTTGACATATGTAATAACAATGCTCTATTAAACAATCCGAATGCTACTCGCAGTTTAGCGAACTTTGCCGAGTGCCGGATCAGATACAAAATCGTGGCAGAAAGAGAAGAAGCGGTGGTATCCGCTCCAGCGAAAACGAGAATATAGCCTGTTGCTTCAAGCTCAGGCTCGCTGAGCACCGCGTCAGTGTTGACGTCATCCTTCGGCAGGATATAGGACATGATTGATCTCTTCACGGTCCGTCTTTATTTGGATGCGTTGATGAACCTTCTAGACGCATAATTTCCAGTGGTCCTTCACTCCCGAAACGACCTCTCTAGGCATAAAAAATAATAACAGCAATGGAGACAAAATACCGTGGCCTCCAAGGCTGTTTGCCACGAAAGCGGCTTTAGGAAAAAATCGAAACAGGGACGTCCACGTGTGATATTACTCATACACGAGACCGTCAAAAGACTCCCCGAATCCAAGATCGCCAAAGATATTAAATATTGCCCAGTTGAAGTACTTGCCAACGTCAAAAGTCTCATGAACGCTACCATTGCTGGCGGCGCTCTTCAGCTTTGCATGAATAAGTCGACGTACTTCCGAATCAGGGGCTCTTATTCAGATAAAGCTTTTTCAGAGAACCCATGAGCAAGTGCTCTCCGTTGTCTGATGTGATCTTTTTTTGAGGCAGAAGAGACCGGATTCGACCTATTTGGAGTTGTTTTGCTTCCAATAATTGCTGCAGAGGCTGAGCAGAGCCGGTGTGGGTATGGTGCGTCAGGGTCACGCGGCTTATCCCATCAAATGGACCATGGTCAGCCGGCGCAAGGCTGCATGATTACTGAATGGTATATACCGCTACCGTGCCGCACCCTATGCATCTACTTTGGCGGTCGGTTCCCAATGGCTGAAGAACCTGCGTTTACGGTCGGCTCTCCCCGCTCCCTTGAGCGCGTGCCAGAGAAGGCGAAACGACCAGAAGGATATTGTACCGAGCTCAGGAACAGATAAAGGTCGGCATCTGCAGCGATGCACTCCGTCGCGTTGCGCTGATAACCTGCTCTCAGCGGGAACGCAGTGGATTTGATAACCAGCCACGCGCCCGACAAAAAAACCGCACACCAAACAGCCTTATTAAGCAGCGAACGAGGTGAGAACACCAAACTTGCCTTTCCTTTCACCTATTAAAACTCCACCACGCAATGTTAGATTAAAATAAAAGATGTCCTGAAAGTATTTTGAGATATTCTCTATCTTTCTGTCTCTTTAGACTTTTCTAGATTCCTTCGGCTATTGCGTTAATCTCCTTACAAATAGGGAGGTTTTGGTTGTGCGGTTTTTTTTGTCGGGCACGTGCCAGCCTCCCAAAAATTCATTGTGAGCCCCCCACTAAACCTAATTTAGAAAATGTCCTGTGATTATTGGCTACAAAAGCTTTTAAGGTTAGACCACATAATACTTGTCCTCTACAAATACTTACCTCTACCTTTGCCTGCTATCTACTGCTTTCAAACACTTCACCCTTTTCACGAAACGAGTTTTCCTTGACGTTGCATCGCCACGGCCAAAGCCATCATGGACAACCTTACTTCCACGGTCTCCACACACAGCTACAGTGATCTAGCTTTCCCAAGTGCCTCTAAATTCCTGGGACTGCCTCTCAAGGTCAGACTGCAGGTTTATCGATATCTCGCCCCCCAACACGATGGTACTATGATGGATTGGTCAAGCCCTGGGATCGTACGACAGGAGCCTCGACCGTGCTCCCTGGCTCCCCTATTGGTTTGCAGCCAGATATACAAGGAAGCTATTTCCATATGGTACAAGTATGCCGTCTTTCGCTTGGCTGGAAGCAAAAAGGGCCTACGAAACAAACACTTTTTCAAAAAAAATAAGCCGGGCTCGAAACACGCAGTCTCGACCGACCGGTACCCTCTGCCTTTGAGCAATCTTCATCTCTGTGTCAACATTGAGCTTGATCTGCACTTTCACCTACCCCCCACTGTCCAACTAACGTCGGCGGAGAGAACTGAGTCGGCTAGTATTCAACACCTGGTCAACATTCTAACCGCACGAAAGAATCGCTTGCGCCATCTCGCCATTAGGCCTGTCTTTACGTCCGGCTTTCGAGCCCAGTATTTTAAACTTGACGCCGAAGGGATAAATCCAAACACAGCAACCCAACCTGCACTACACGAAGCCGTGGATTATAATCTCAGACTACTCAAACCACTTTATGCCGATCAAGTTGTCATCACCTTGCAAGACAAATGGGTGGCTAGTATGGTGAAACGGAGTATGGATCGCGAATCTCAGCTGTCTGCACGGTCGCGAATGGCGCAGGAGCAGATGGACAAGTTTATGGAACTTTGTCAAAACCATCTCAAGATACCAAAAGGAGGAGGTAATACTTCAAAATCGGCGTTTCTCTAGCTTCTCCATGATAATTATAATCTATAAAATCAACTACGGTGGAAAGTTGGTCATTGGCCTCAATATCTAGACGAAGTAGATACTATCAGTCAACTTGCAGCGTCAATTCGCAGTCCCTAACCAAGCTTTACCTCACGTTTCATCGATGTTCTTTAACACTCATATGTTCCAAAACGCAATTTAACGCATCTTGCATATTTCTGATCTCCCCTAGGCAGTATTTATAGCCCGTCCATAAGTCACAAGAGAGCCTATTTTTTCTTCTCGTTTTCTCAAGATAACGGATATATACAAGAATGTTAGAAGCTAAAGTATCTCGTAATAGTGATCGCCAAGACTGCGGAGATATGATCCTATTTATCTCGTAAAACGGGGTGAAGATCTGGAAGCTGGGTAGAACTTAAAGCCAGCAAAATTCCTAGTCAAATCAGAGAATTAACATACAAATAACAAAATATACATTTATATAATCTAACTAAAATCTTTAACTTAGTTTATATTATTCGCGTACTCCATACAACTAGTAAAGACTGTACCGCGGCTTAACAAAGCCAAGGGCAAAGCTGAATCTACCGCACACGCATGCACCACCTTCCACACATCTCCATTCCACCTACCACGGTCTTTTGTCACCAAGGGCCTTCAAGTACAAAAAAACTTACCAGTTATTCCAATAATTGAAAGTACAGAGAAGATGAAAAAACATTGAAAAAAGGCAAAAGAAAGACAAAAAATAATATTTATTAAATATATCTTATAATCCCACGAACCCATACCCTGCCCCTCTCGGGGTACCCTCTTTCATCCAGGACGAATCGAACGCCCGTCTCCTCACGGTGGACCCGGAGGTGTGTTACCACTACACTATGGATTACTTGAGGGCCGAGAGAATTTCCTCCAAAAATGCAATATATACTTGTAGTACACCCCATATATTGCGTCCCATCACGATTCCTCACCACATAATTAAACTTAACGAGCAGATACCGCTGCTTCCCTTTTAACCTTGCCTTTGCAATTACCTTGTACGTGCCTTTGCAATTGCCTTTGTAAGGAGCCTTGGCAGGGGCCCTAGCAGTAGGCCATTGCAGGAGGCCTCTGACGAGGCGACGCGCAACTGCAAAACTTCAAAACAATTGGCGGTCTGCAGCACGCATTTTTTTTGCTAAGAGAAGTAGTGCAATCGAATGCAAATTACATGCGCAACAAAGTTACGGAGCGTTTTTTTCAATGCAAGGCGCTGCAAATTTATTGCCATACAAATTTTCGACTGTTTTTATTTTCGTCACGTGATCGCTTATTTCACCGAAGAAAGCAATTATATATTATAACGTGTTCCACCAGAAAGTGGGCCACACCACTTAGTGGGCCACCCTAAATGTAACGAACGTCACATAGAAATAGAGACGCACACGCGTTCCTATAAGAAGGGAGGTTTATTTGGAGGATATCGGACCTGCCTCCGATATCGTCCCGATTAGGCCCCGTTACCCCTATTTCTCCATACATAAGTATAGCTCTTTAGCAGTAGATAGCAGGACAAGTTCTTCTTGTCCTTCCGTATCAGACCTATAGGAATAGAGGTGTTCTTGGTTATCCACCGCAGCACGCACTCCCATATGCCTTTGAGTTGCACTTAGATCCGTTTCGGAGCCCTCTAGCACCTGTGTCGTTACATTACAAGAAGAACTTCGCCCCGCTGGTGACGGCTTCTTAATAATATCGCTTTGTTTGAAAAGATTACGTCTAAACCCTTACGTTAATACGATCTGATTCGGATCCGTTTATAATTAAAGTCTATTATTCTAAAGTTGGGATCCCCTTGATCTCCTAACGACCGAAGCCTATAGGTTTAGAACTTCCTGCACTACTGCGTGAGGATTAACTTCGGGAAAGTCGCGTGGAGCGCTAGGGTAGAAACTCGGAGACTACTAATAACCTAGGGGAATTAGAGCCTAAGCCGATGTCTCCCCCCAAATAAGGATTAGCTTAAATAGGAGTATCGTCCTTATTAAGATCGACGCGGTAGCAGGCCGCCTAGTCGAAAATTATCGCGCAGCCTGAGGCTGATAAGCAAATAGAGGGTTACTCTAAACAGGAAACAGAGTCTGACGCATAATTAATAATGGTAGAGAATTAGAATACAATTGGACCTGACGCGAGGATTGCTGAGTTGCAGCGTAAACTAGATTGAGTTCGTGTAGAACTGAATAAACTTAGCGCTTGGCCTATCTCTAGCTCTATTAAGCCCGATCAGCCCCTACCTACTACTGAAATACCCCTGACTACGAACCTACGAGAGATCTGCTCTCCTTTAGTGACGCTTCCCCTAGAACTTATGGGCAGAATAATAAGGTTAGAAAAGACGCCTCCTATTAGCGATCTTAGTGATGGGAAGAACCCTAGCTTTAGATAATGGTAAGCTTTGATACGAGACCGACTTGAGATTAACTTAGATCACTATTAGATAGAGCGCGCACGCATGGCCTTAGTATGGGGGCATACCACAGGGTTAGCAAGAGAATACCTGGAGCCCCGATACCTAGCCGACTCCCCTGTGGACGGCTTCTAGATCGCTGAATAGATGATCGACCTTCTAAAATCCTATTTCATCACTGGAAATGAGATGGCAGAGAACAGAGCACTGTTCGACCGATTATAACAAGGGAAAGAGGAAACTTTTGCTCTCTTTAAGGCACGTTTTCTGAGCGCGGCTGTGAAAGGACACGTACCTAAGTTGGAGTGGTTTCACTACCTATGGATTAAGATTGTCCCCGGCCTTCGAGTACCTAACCTAGGATTCAAGCGCCTCTGGAATAACTCCTTCGAACAGATGGTGGAGCACCTAATAGTATACGATATGGAGTGGAAGAACTATCTAGTTGTAAGCTCTCCTACTAATGTTCCTCGAAACAGTGCTTGGATTATGCAACGACCTGTTACGGACCCTATCCGGAAGATAACCTATATAGCCCCCTTATTAAGTGCTACGCAGTCTTTTAAGCCCGCCGTATATCGCCTGGCCTTAAAGACACCCGCACTGGATAGAGAAAGGACCCTAGGCAACTACTATAATTGTGGCGACCCTAGACACTATGCTAACGAATGTCCTAAACTACGGGTTCACTAGATTAAACTAGAGGAAGAAGAATTTGAGGACGCTGTGGAAAGTTACGACACGGATCCAATTTGGTTGGGAAACGACGCCGCCTGGGAGGACGATCCTTCCCGGGCCTAAGCCAATATGACCTGTCTAGTCTTAATCTCTCTCGTTTGTTCCGTGGCTCTTATTTCCTTATTTCTTCCATTCTATGTTATAATAACCTTGGGGTACAGCTCCGTTCCCTGGTGGATACGGGAGCCTAAGGTTACTTATTTCTTAATTCTAAGATTGCTTCTTCTATTTCTGTGGCACTTCGATAACCTATCCGAAAGCTACCCTACTAGGTTATGGTTTGAGGCTTTAAGGATCAGATATCTTCTAGCGTCACTTACTATATTCGCCTGCATTTGAAGATCGATGGACGCAAGATTCTTAATTGCCCCTTTATCATCCTCGACCTGGGCGCTCAGGATTGTATTATCGGCCTTTGTTGGCTGAAACGCTTCAGGATTATGCTTGATACGGATCGCTTACGGATGGTGTGGCCTCTATAATATCCAGTCTCTTATGACCCCTCGCCCCCTATCCCTATGCGGCTCTACCTAACTGCTCCTGCGGGGTAAGTCGAGCTGGATATATAATGACGAGATGCCTTATGGGATAAGGAGGAGTATTGGGAGAATAATAGCCCACACTCGCTTTGCTGGATTCGAGGCATGCTCAAGCTGCCTGCTCCAAGGCGCTGTGCTATCCTGCCGAAGCCTGAGCAGTCCCCTATCTGAAAGCCCCCTGTTACCCCGCTTACCTTTCGAGTCGCCCTGATTTTGGCTAACGCTTTCTATTTTAATCTTAAAAAGCCAGAGAACGAGTTTTTTACTATAAGCCTGTACGAAATTAATCGATTACTCTAAGATTATGAGGATGAGCCCGAGAACGCACAGCTGATTGAGGACTAACTACCCTCCTGTTACTATCCGTATCGGGACGTGTTTAACAAGGTAGACGCTGATAAGATGCCCCCTTCTCGCTCTTACGACTATAAGATCGTGCTTGAGGAACCTTTGCCAAACACTTATCCCCTATTATATAAGTAGAATTAAGCAGAGCTGGAGGCTATTAAGGCCTATATACTCGAGCACCTTTGGAAGGGTTTCATCGAAGTAAGTCAGAGCCCCTTTGCTTCTCTAATTCTCGCTGTTAAGAAACTAGGAGGAGGATTGCGTATCTGCGTGGACTATTGAAAGTTGAATAACCTTACGCGCAAAGATGCCTATCTGATACCCCGCATAGACGAGTTATTGTCAAGACTGTCTAAGGCTAAGATCTTCACTAAGTTTGATATCCGTGCCGCCTTTAATAAGATCAGGATGGATCCTGAATCTGAAGAGTACACGTCCTTTCGGACCCGTTATAGTAGCTATAAATGTAAGGTCTTACCCTTTGGACTCTGTAACGGGCCTGCTACCTATTAAAGATATATGAACGACGTTTTGATTGACTATCTGGATAATTTCTACGTGGCCTACCTAGACGATATCCTAATCTACTCTAAAGACGCCCTGACTTATTAGGAATACGTTCGTAAGGTTCTGGAGCGACTTCGGATAGCTGGTCTCTAGGTAGATATTAAGAAGAGCGAATTTTATGTGACTCGTACTAGATATTTAGGATATATCTTGACGAATAAGGGAATTAAGGTAGATCCTGTTAAAGTCGAAGTCCTCTGAAACTGGGCCGAACCTACTACGATTACGGGCATAAAGTCGTTCCTAGGGTTTGCTAGATTCTATAGGTAATTCGTTAAAGACTTCTTACGCATTGTAAAGCCAATGATTGCTCTTTAGAGCCTAGCGAATCCCTTCGTATGGTCCCCTGACTGCTAGCGAGCATTTAATGAAATTAAAGCCGCTCTTCTAGCAATCCCGACCCTAGCCTATTTCGACGCTGAATACGAAATGAAGATGGAAACAGACGCATCTAACGGCGTAATCGCAGGAGTTCTGTCCTAAAGGCACCCTAATAAAAGTGGTATCCTATTACCTTCTATAGTTATGCCCTATCTGGATCTAAACTGAACTGGGAAATCTATGATAAAGAACTCTTTGCGATCGTGTACGCGTTCGCGAAATAGAGGCCTGAACTGTCTACGGTTTGACACTGGATCCAAGTGTACTTAGATTACTGGTCCCTTGAATACTTTATGACTACTAAAGTACTAAATGCACGATAAGCCTGTTAGGCAGAGGTTATGGCACCGTTTAACTTCCGAATCGAATATACGCCAGGCGTAAGTAATGCTAGGGTAGATATCCTGAGTTGACGCGAATAGGAGGTTGATAGTGTTAAAGTAGTATAGAAGGATAACCGCTTACGTATTTTACTAGGTCCTGAGAGATTGTACACCCGTATTAACTCTGACCTGGCAGTGAGCTACTTGAAGGACTATCCTCTGCAAGAGTTAACTATTTTAGCGATCGCTCCTCTCTAGGACGTTATGAACTTGGACTCCCTAGAGCTGATTGAGGCTCTCCTCTAAGAAAATCGGAATTCCTTTATAGAAGAACGAAAAACCCTGCCAAAGTAATATTGGATAGAGAACGGACTCCTACTCTATAGAGATCGACTTTGTGTACCTATCGACTCCTCGCTTTACACCCGTCTTATTAGGAGGTCTATGACTAGATCTCCTCCGCCCACCCTAGTGCCTCTAAGACGTATCGGCTCCTATCTCGCCGTTATTACTGGAAAGGCATGGGAGCTACCTGTGAACG